AAACAAAAATATTCATTAAGTCTGGACACCAGGTCTCTAATAGAGCATCTCCAAATTAGGAGTGTTGTAGGCTCTCTAATACCCCAGGTGGACCCTGCTGCCTTTGTTACTTTTCCTGTTGCTCTGCTGAGACACCTGACAAAAGCAGCTGGAGGGAGAAGGGTTGTTTTGTCACAGTGCCAGGTTGTGTCTATCGCAGTGCAAAAGTCACAGAAGCAGGAGTCAGGGATGGAGTCAAGAGATAAAGGTGGCTGTCACACTGAACTCACAGTCAAGGAGCAGAGCAGGACTGGATGCTAATGACAGCTCATGCTCTCCTCTCAATGTCCTATTGGATGGACTCTGTGTGCATTGTGCACCATGAGGAAGGAGAGACAACGCCTATGGGCAGTGAGACAGCACAGTCGTTAGTAAATCAGCACATGAGTGGGGTCGCTGATCCATCAGGCTACCTTGATCCTCCTGGCCCCTGAGCAGGGTAGAAGTGGGGTTTATAAGCACAGAAACCTCAAACACCTGTGCCAAGTCACAGTTACGAGTTTCTACCAACCTGGGATGTCAGCACCAGGCCAGGACTATGGCAACATCCAACTTCACAGACTAGAATCTACTGGATTCTTGACCTTTCTGGTGTGAGATAACCATTGTTGGCCTACAGGACTGCATCATGTAGGTCGGTTTAATGAATGCCATTTAATATCAATTCTACCCATTCTACTTCTTTACAGAGTCCTGACTATTATCTATTACTCTGTCTCAGCTACTTCGTGTCGCTCTGGTAAAACATACACCAAGGCAACTCATCAAAGGAAGTGGCTCATTGAACTATGGCTCTGAAGCGATACAGTCCATGATGGCAGAGTGGAGTCAGCAGACCCTGGAGCAGCAACTGAGAGCTCACGTGTAAAACTGCACGCAGAGGCAGAGAACACACCGGGAATGCCAGGACCCTTCTGAAACCTCAAAGCCCTCCCCCAGTGACACACCTCTTCTTCCAACAAGGCCAAACCTCCAAACCCATCCCAAACAGTTCTACCTTCTGGAGACTAAGTATTCAAATATGAGTCTCTGGGGGGCATTTCATTAAAACTAACACAGAAACAACAACAAAGAAAATCACAGGTTAATTTCCATGTGTGGGCACACATGGTCCAAGAATGGAGCTCTGTGAGGGAATTCTGAGTACTTGGGAGAAAACTCCAAGAAAAGAAGATAAGAGGCTTGTGACCTCTGCTCCTTCTAAACTTGGGTTTGTCCCTGGAATGTGCTTTTGTGCCAGGTGTAATAAAAAGGATTAGATTTACTCAAATTACCCAGTATCTCAATACTGTCATTTAGATAATGTCTCCAGGCACGCCCTGTTCTTGTGATTGTACAAAGCTTGAATCGTGGCAGTTTTGTTCATGTTAACTTTGTTCATTTCACTTTTGCCTTGTAAAACTGTGTCTTCCCAGATACCGTGATGAGCCCCCTTCCACATGATATATTTCACACTTATCAACTCCACAGGCAGCCTTGAACCCTGAGCCCCCCCCCCCCCGACACTTTTCTGTACAGGTACTAAGAGCCAATTATCCGAACATCTATTTTCTATCAACCCTAACCCTTCCCTATGAATGGGACTTCAAAAGTCAGTGAGGGCTGCTTAACCCTCAGGGTATAAGCTGTCTCATGCTCTAAATAAAGCTGGAAATCAAATGAGACTTTAGTCAGTTTTGTAGTTAGGACCCGTTTTCCCAGGTCCCACTTCCTCTAGAGTACAGACACCATGATGAACATAGATATAAAAATGCTCAATGAAATATTTACAAAAGTGCTGATGTCACGTGTCTTTCATACCAGTACTCAGAGAGGCTGTGGCAGGTGGATCTTGGTGAGTCAAGCTGGTTCTATATAGTGAGTTCCAGGGTAGTCAGAGAGGCAGATAGTGAAAGCCTGTATAAAAAATATTAAATTAAAATTTAAAAACCAAGTCAGAGGTTTCTAAAAAGACTAACATTAGAACTACTATATGACTCAAATGTATCACTCCTGGGCATCTACCAAAGAACTCTATATCCTGCTACAGAGACACTTCCACATCCAAATGGTTTCCGCCTAGATGTTCATCAAATGATCATTGAATAATCAAAATAAGGATATGGGACAAATGCACAATGGAATCTTATTTACCCATAAAGCTTTTACCTGAGGGGGGAAAGCCAATTCCATAACTGTCTTTTGAAACAAGCTGTACTTATTCAGCTGTCTTCCTCTTCCAATGTCAGGGTTTTAGAAAGCAGCCCCTCACTGACTTTTGAGGTCCCTTTTATGGGGAAGGGATAGGGTTGATAGAAAACACCGTTGACAAAATTGACTATTAGTACCTCTACAGTAAAGTGGGGGACTCAGGGCTCAAGACTGCCTGTGGGGTAGATAACTATGAGAATACATCATATGGAAGGGGGGGTCATCATATCTGGGAAGACACATTTTCATAAGGCAAAACGGCAATCATATACCACAGGTTCAGGAGTTTATGAAGGCAAATGAGTGGGCATATTTCGTGGGGTCACAAGTTTAGAATAGATTTAAAAAACATAAGGTTTGCAAGGTACATTAGGCTTAGAAACTTATTCTTCTAAGGAATGGAGACTTAATAATGATGCATAATAGTGT